CATACAAACTGAACATATAGTTACTAACATAAATGCACCTGTGAAGGGTATTTAGCTTCGGTGCAACCGAAGTTAACGTTTTTTCTTGTTTTGGTTCCAATTGGTTCGGGTGGAGAGTGACACCCTAGTCACCTTGGTCGGTCTGAGAGATACGCAGTCCGGCAAATGAAGAAGAAAGAACTCTTGAAATTTGTGTGCCATMAAGTTCTTACTGGACCGCCGTCGTATATTTAAAGTACCGTTAATATATACTTTCGCCGCATCTGATGCCTATATGCGTTTTAAGTAAAATCTCCTCCTTAGAGAAAAGATCACGCATCTTCTTGCATATTTTCGGTAGTGTTTTTTTCACATTTCTCTGAATTTGTTGTTTGCTCGCACACGCTGATAAGTCAGTCAGATAATTTTTTCTTTGCAATAATAAAGACGAAGTATCACGCCATTGGGAGATTATAAAAAATTGTTTGCCATAATTATACATTTTATTACCTCCACACATACTATGCTTAAAACAATAAGTTCTTCTTTCTATCRAAAGTAGACGCCCATACCTTAACCTTTTCCATTTCTGGCCAGTTTATCACTTTTAGCTCCTCACCAATATTCAAACACTTGTAAGCAGGCTCAGGTGTACGAATGGGTTCCCATGAAAGTGATTCCATACCAGGGACGTCTTTGTCATTTGGGTTACCAGTTGCTGCAAATTCCGTCCAAATTCCAATCATGCGTTGTATTGTGCGATATTCAGGGCTCTCCTTAGAGAGTACATTTGCCATTGCATGTGTGAAGAGATAAGCTAGTTCATCGCCATGAGATACGCCTTTCACACCACGACCAAAGCGCCAAATGCGATAGGGATATGGTAATACTTCCGAGTCGTAGTCGAAGCGGTATAGATATGTGGGAGCAGACGTGGCATTAGTCAAACGCGAGAGCAGAACACGATGGAGAGGAAAGTAGAAAAGCAAATAAGCATTGATCTGAAATAATGTAAATATTGAAACAACTGTTAGCGTAAAATTTATCAGTTGAAACGAAAATCATATGGGGACCAATGACAACGGAGTATGTACTCAAATTGAGTGATTTGTCGGAAAAATTAAAGTTTTTTTTTTTTTTTCATAAATCACTATGTAAATCTTAAAATTCTGACCGGCATAAAAAAACTTTAGATGTCTAATCSCAATCATGATCTCTGGAAAATTAACAACACTGAAATTGTTGACAACACTCGATATCGAATCCAATATTCAAACTCTCGATGTGTACTAGATGAATGGTGAGCTTTTCTCCTGAAAGCATTGATCGTTCAAATTAATGCTTTCAAATTTCAGCGTTCTCGATGTGATCTCTGTAAAATCTTCACGAAACTTCGACGTTCCTCTATAATACATCGGCGGAAATTTTTAGCTTAACCAAAAAGAACAAATAGTCGATTGGAACATTTAAAGACTGAAACTAATTCAAAACGAAACCGGTCGAAGATATAAATTCAGATCACTAAAGTCCAGAAGACCGAATATTTGGGACGCCCCCACACAACCTAATCAAACATAAAGCAAATTGTTTTATGCCGCRGGGATATTATGCATATAAAGCCTCTCTCAAGATACCAGAGGGAAAAAGAGTCATTATCAGAATATGGGCTTGAATAAACATTTTGAGTATTTGGATGCAAATTCATAAACTGTCTATAGTGAAGCTAAGGAAAGTATGAACTGGGCGCTTTGTAAGGCAGTACATACATCCATATATTCGTCAGCTGTAAGCTCAGCACTGTCGGCATGCATTTTTTTCAGCTTCGCAGCATTTTCCTCGATATCCACATCATCCACTACTTCATAGGGTACGAAGCTACGACAGGTTTCCAATTCATTCAGACAAATTGGCATTTCCTTGATAACTGTAAGTTTAGTAAATGCATTATATTATGGTTTTTAAAAAATTTAAGTCTTTCATCACTCACATGGCAGCATTACTAAACCCTCCGCTGAAGTATGACCCGCCAGTATAGGCATTGAATTACTCCATGCTGTTCTCATAAGGTCACGTGGACTTTTTGAAATTACACAGTCCGGCGTATCATACGGCTCGATACAGGGTGCAAAGGGAAACATTATTTTTCGTTGTAATTCAACTGTGGTCAGCACTTTCGGCTCCAACTGTGCCAAATCGGTAGCTTTGCATTGTTTCAGATATTCTAAGACATGTTGTTCATCATSTTCCCCCTTAAATCCGGCTAGCTTGGCAAGTGGATAAGCGTGTCGCTCTTGACCATTGTGCGCCCAAGAAGCAATGGCAACGCCAGACATTAAAATTGCACGATGAAATAGACCTCTGGTTTGTTCGGTAATGCTGAGATAATGCGCCGAGGCAGCGCCAGCACTTTCACCGAATAAAGTTATGCAATTTGGATCGCCACCAAAGTTGGCTATATTATTTTTAATCCACTTTAGTGCCAACACTTGATCTTTCAAACCGGCATTACCAGGTATATTCAACTCCGGTGAGGCGAGTGTAAGAAAACCTTTAAAAGGTGACGTAATTTTTTTTTTTTTTAAGTAAGAATACGAAAAAGCCATGGTACAAACCGAAAACGCCCAACCGATATTGCACTGTCACCAAAACCACATCTTTYTCCATGAAATAATCTGGTCCAAACCAATCACGGTTCGCTTCACCCACAACAAARCCTCCACCGTGTATCCAAACCAAAACGGGTTGTGGTTTATCTGGTTTTAACTAGAATTTATATTTTTATGGTAATAATAAATTCAAGGTTATCAGACTGCTTTCTTTGAAACTTGCTTATTCCAACTCACATTCTTCGCATATACATTCAGGTAGAGACAATCCTCCGAACCCTCTGCATTATTTGTTATTAAATGCAGTTGCACGGCTCTGTCTYTTGGGCATAGACAATCGAGTACACCATCCCAGGGCTCAGGTCGCTCAGGCGCTTTGAAACGTAACTCATCCACAGGTGGCTTAGCATAGGGAATCCCCTCGAAGCTATAATATGGCACTTGGTAGATTGTTCTCCGCTTGATGCCTTTCACTTTGCCATATTCGGTGTCAATTACAGCGGTCTCGTTGGTGATTAAACGGTATTGAGCATATCTATTTCCAAGCACGCTGAAATATAGAACTTGTAAATTAATGCTCAACACAAATTACAGCTTGAAGACACGAACACAACGCAAATTGCATATTGATACTCGTGATCTAAGTTCAACTTCGACCAGTAGAGCTGTTGCAATCAAAAGTATGTTTATGTGATTAAAGCAAATTCTTCCAATGTAAGTCTCGTAATTTCSATAACAAATTTTTAGAACGCAGAAGACGCTTACTACTGTGTAGGTGTGCAAGTGGTAGAAAGGTCACACAAATATTTGACTAAGTTGATGAACGTTTTGTTTATATCGTTCTCAAGGTCACTACTAYAATCACGGAGACTTAGTGACTTATGCTTAAAAGTGCTATTCTACTTGTGTTTCTGACTATAAAAATTAATATTGTATATGTATCTAAGCCCTTGCAAAATGACAGACTTAATTTTTCACTTCATCACAACTCACTTTAAGCGCCAACGAAGTTTATCTAAAAAACCGACATTAGAATGCATGTCGCCCGATTRATTAGAAAAAATCGCACTATTAAAAAATCAGTATTTCTTCTTCTTCAGAAATGTTTTCAAATATTTCCCGCCGCTTTGATTCAACACCGTTATTTCGCTAGCCCCAAGCCAAGCGAATTGCTTCATTCAACTGAATTCTGTTTCCATTACCATCTTAGTGGAAAGCCGTAACAATCCAAACATCACGTAAGTATAGAGCAAAAATAAATGTGAATTAATTAAAACTCAATCAAATAAAATGTTGTCAAGCTGTCAAGCACATCCATAAATACAAGCACTCTAAACAGATAACAAAAAATCTGTTGTGTTTTGGTTAATGCTCTCATGCGTTATATTTGTTTCCTAAGCCATTAAATTCAGATATTATATTCATGCGATAGCATACACAAAGTATATACATAGTACATATATACATATATGTGTTTATATGTTTGCAACACCGGTTAATCACTGCTTATATATGTATGTATATGCTGACAGTAAGCAAAATGTTATAAAGCGAGTGTKAGTAGGCTGTTTCTCCCGGCGGTTAGCTCGCTTTGTACTTCTTTGTACTACTACTTATGTATGTATGTATGTATGTCTATTTGCTTGCTTATCGTCGATGCAAAATTTACTAATAGAATTTTCAAATAACAGATAACGAATGCGTTTTGTAGATTGCAACATATTGCTACAATTGTAGCCGCTTTGTGATCGAATGGGTTGTCATAAGAGTTAAAAGTAAAAATCTACATCGCTTACATATATATGTATTTTAGGTATTATCACACTGAGCAAAATAACTGATTTATCTAAGATATTTCCCAACCGTTCATGCACGAAGTCAGCGTAGGTTGGGTATGTGAAAACTTGGGAAACTACAATATCCAAAAATAAATTTGTTTAAAAAGTCAAAGAAATTGTGYCAMAACTTACATTAGGRCKCATACACTTTATATAAAGGCTTTMGGTCTTCMGSGTGACTTTAMATTTTATTTTTTATTTCATTTTAKTTTAGAACCTAAAACGRATAAAATTGGAYGAAAACTTGACCAAGCCCCCATATAACAATCATATAACATTCAGATGATCTCACTCCATATATTTGGGTGGTAATATGTGAGGTACCTTAATGAATCTCAGTGAAAATTTTACTGATAAATAAAATCAGGTCGATTCTTCCAAGTTGCATGGGTATAAAATACTCGATTTTAATCGAACTTAACCCTTCCTTACTTGCGAATACAGAGACTGATATTCACACAGCCATCAAAAAATAATATTTGATTACAATATTTCTAAATGGGAGAAGCGAGGGGAGCGGTGCAGTCAAGTGCAGCACACTTAAATTGATAATGTTATGAGATTACATTTCTTTGCTGTGTAAAAGTGAGATTTATTATACGTTGTTGTTTGACCTTTTGCGAAATAAAAATTTAATAATTGTTTTCTGAACTTGAGCTCAACCGAGTATTTAAAAAATAACTCCTACGGTTATGCAAATTGCTTTCTAATAAATTGTAGAACTTTATAAAAAAATGGTACATATTAGATTGATGTTTAAAAAAGTTGTTTGGAGATATAAGGTACACGCTATTGCGAGTGTATAATTATAATAGCTTCATGCTAAGCAATCGTTGGCCGATTGTCTTTGATTAAGCCTACAACTGTCATTCATAAATATTTTCAGAGATAATGAAATGAATGATGAAAAAACCAAAAAAAAACAAAAAAACAAAAACAAAAAATAACGAAAAACGCAAGTCATGCCATAGCCATAAATTTAATTAAATGATATGAAAAAATTTATTATGATTATTAAAAGAAGCTGTCATACCCATTAATGTTTTACGAACGCAAAATAATCTTGCTGTTTTACTAGTAAACAATTCASTGAAATGTTTGCAAGAGAGTTGCAATTATTCATAAGCCTCATAACTTATATTTGGTATATAATTTCGGTGAGAAGTGAAATATAGGCAGGAAATTGAACATAACCTGGAATGTGGAAGAGTATAGGCGTCGAGCTCACTTATTTGT